GGTTGACGCCGGTGCCTCGTGCGACCATAATTTATCGCTGATCGATGTAATTCCCTTCTCCCGTTCGTGTCGACCTCCATACGCACGCTGTACCATTGTCCGAGGATACAGGTGCCTCGCGATTTTCATCCAATCACATTCCAAGAAACTCGGTGTTAACACATTGTGTTACGGATGGGCGACGAGAATTCTCGTCTTTTGTGTTTCAACGTGTTGCGCTATTTTGCGTCGTAGGGGATCCAGGCAACGTTATATATAATTTATATTATACAATATTATATATAATATACAATTGTATATTATAATGTTATATAATATTTCAAGAAGTAGGGAAATTGTTTCCTAACATACCACACCAAGAAATGTTATTCGAGGTACTTCCATTTTATTTAATAAAATGCCTCTAAAATGAAAAATAATTAATAATTTTAATTATTAATAAAATAATATATCTATATACATTCTTTTGAATCCTTTCAATCATATATTAAATAATTCGAAACGTACGAGAGAAATACATGCTATATGTTTATCTGAGCATACCGTCCTCAATGTGTTAATGTAAATATAAAATAAATAATAATTAAAATCTAAAATACATAATAAATAGATTCTTAAATATTACTATAAAAATATATAATATTTAAATATTTAATATTTAAATATTTTAATATTTAAATATATAATATTTCTTAAATATTATATAAAAATATATAATATTTAAGAATATTTTATCCATGTGAATTAAAGAAGTGCACATATGCGTTGTACAAAGTTTCCCTGTTGCTCCAAAAATGTTGGGCGTGCCGAGAAATATTTATTTTCCCCGTACGATTTTGACGACAATCAGTCACGAATATTAAATTTCGTAAATTAATTTCACAAATCAGAAATCAATAGGATGTCAACGAGACACGAGCTGAACTAAGCATTCTCGAGCTAGAAAAAAAAAAAAAAAAGAAAACACTCCTAAATGAATTGTAGAAAATGCGCGCACGTGCGATTGCGATATTCCTAGGATTATAAATATAGAGCGGCGGATAGATATCTCGACGATATCGCTGGCCTATGTTTGTGAATTCCCGCGAGGCGCGTGCTTGCGCGATGGAAAACGAAGAAACTTGACTTGGCGCGATTCACAGAATCATCCTACCGTTCGCAACGTTGCCTCGTTCTCTCAGTAGGAGAATGTTCGGTCGGTGACAAAATCGTTGAAATGTTTGTGAATCGATGAAAAGTTGCGCGAAGTTTCAGAAACCCGTCGAGCCGCGATTGAGAAATCACCCGGCGAGGGTAAACGTTTTCACGCGGCATTTTGTTCGCTGCGTGAAATTTATATACGTACGGCTCGTTGCGTAACGCGCTTTCCAAAGATTACTTACAATTAGAATTGTACCAGGCACTCGGAAGAGAGTAGGGCAGCTACGGACAACGCGATCGTTCAAATTCCAGCGCGCGGAAGATAGTGAGACAAAAAGAAAAAGAAAAAGATAAAAGTGACTTATTTGCAGAGAGACACCTCGTTTATCACCGCTTCGTTTTATCTACCAGGCTTCGTACCTTGGAAATGGTCGCGTCTGTATTAGAAAATGCACACGCGCTACAAAGATGCACTTTAACGCGTGCAACGTGTCAATTGTTAGCAAATACGCAAATATTGAGTAAAAATGTCGATTCATCGATGATTTTAATTTTTTTTCACGTTCCGGCTAATCGAAGATTGTTCATCCGTTTGAAAAGGAACAGCTCTCTTAACCTCTGCGCTGGCAACTGACTGCGGACCATAACGAGTGACCAAATCGTATATAACAATTTGTCAGCTTTCTTTTTAAACTCGTCGACACGATATCACTGGACAGAAATTATTCAGAAGTAATAAATTTATTATCTGTTTTGCCTATTCTGTTTTACTTAAATATAGTTAAAACTGAGAAAATATTGCAATTTTGGGACAAAAGATTCTCGACGCGCTGGCAACTGACTGCGGACCATAACGAGTGACCAAATCGTATACGACAATTTGTCAGTTTTCTTTTTAAACTCGTCGGTACAATATCACTGGATAGAAATTATTGAGAAGTAATAAGTAAATTTATTACCTGTTTTGCCTATTTTGTTTTACTTAAATATAGTTAAAATTGAGAAAATATCGAAATTTTGGGAAACAAAAGATTCTCCAGCGCAAGAGGTTAATCGCGAAAACTTGTAGCGTTCTACTCTCGCAAGCGAATCATTTCACTACGTTTGTAATTGAATCAATCTCGTCGAGTGTATCACGCGCGAAATATTTTGCAACTCAAGTTGTGATAAATTGTAAAAGCGACAGTGAGTATCTGTAGGGAAAAACAATGGCGCAGCCATTTTTGGGGAAATTACCAGTATCTCGAGTGTGTTTGATCAATCCTACCAGCTTCGACGCGAATACACACATGGTAGAGCACCGAAACTCTCGAATACACGTAATGCACGCCCACTCGCGGCATTCTTCGTTCGAACGTGTTTTGCGTTAGTAGTTTCCATGACGCGAGCCGTTTACTCAGATTGCGTCAATTAACGTGATCTTCCGTGGCGCAAAAGACGATAGGTGTTGCCGTGACGATGGCTTTTCCTATCCGAAGCATCTGCAACCGGCCTAATATTATGAGAGCACGGCCTTATCTCCACGTATGCTCGATAACAGCCTCGCAAAGAGTTATCGTTCCTTTCGAACTGTCGATTAATCAAAGTCTTACGCGAGTCTTACGCGCACGGTGTATAGAATTCTCGTTTATTATCGCGAATGTTTAAAAATTAGTCGAAACAATCGAAGGTCCAACACCTTGATTTCGAAATTCGACTTTAAGCTTTGCACGAAGCAAAGTTTACTCTGCAAAGATATCATTCGTCTTTAATACACGTAATAACGAAAGAATGAGAGAATATCGCGTATTTTAGATCCAGCAAGGAAGTAAAAAATTGCAGACATCCTCGTAGAAAAATACGTCGACAGACTGTCGACAAACGGAGAATTCAAAATTTGTCAAATTACACGGCAGTTCAACCTTCTCGTATATAACGAAATTTTTCATGCAGTGAAGCTCGACACCGGAACGCGACGCCGTCCGTTTGCAGATTTTAAAAGAACCGATGATTTCATCGGCAATGCCTGGCGAGTAGCAGCTCGTTAGATCGATCGTTTCCATTCGCCACGTTCGACGCGGCTGACCGTATCTCGAATTCTCGATCTCGGGGAAACACACGATGCAGCTCACCGAGCGCAGATAAAAAAANAAAAAAAAAAAAAAAAGAAAAAAGAAAATACAAGAAAAGAAAAGAGAGAAACAAGAAAGAAGTGACTCCAAGATTTCCAAGTTAAATACGGACGAACACAATCGAGCGCGTGCAGCACGAAATACAACGCACACACGTTCACGCGTTGCTGCATACACGGTGCACGAATAAATCCGTGCGGATCGATCTGCAGTGTCAATGGCCGATGGCGGCCAAGATCCGCGAAACCGTGTGTGTTGTACAGCGTGGCCCGAAAGAAATTTGCTGCGAGCATCGTCGCCTCGACACATACACCGTGTCTCCTCCAGCCTGTTCTCCATCTCGCGCGATAAAAGCGTGTTTATGACCGACCGAGTGGCTGACACGCTCGTGAAACTCGTTACGATCGACACGACGCGACGTGGATGTTACGCGCGAACGTCACTTTCCTTGACAATAATAGGAAGCCGCGAGAGAACATCAATCGCGGTCACAATATTTCGTTTTTAATCCCTTCTTTAATTCTTCGACGACGAAGCACGCTGCGATCAAAAATCAAAACGAACTTCTCTCACGCAGCGCGAACAACGTAATTTGGAATTTCGTACAATTGCCTCGCGTTACGACGGCGCTAGCGTTAATCGATCTCGATACTTCTCCCGCGTAAAGTCAAATGTTAACTTCGAACGTGTCTTCCGATCAACCGTAATTAAAGAGTAATGTTGGCGAATGGTGTTTCAATTCACTGCGACGCTCTGTCCCATGGATTCGATCGACACAACCCGTAATATCTATTATATGTATATATTGGCGTTTATAATAAACACCAACGGTCGCCTGATTGACGAGGCATTCTTTGTTGTTTATCTTATCTTCCGGGTGGCCATGAATTTTTGAGAACAACCTGCGAACATTCGAAATCACGCCAATCGTATCAGTTTAATCATCAATCGTACAAAGAGAACCAAGAACGGGAGAAAGAGGGAATGTCAAAATCCAGCACCTGTGCGCTCGCGATAACGTATTATCGAAAAACATGAATTTATGACAATGTATCCTATGAATCAATGGAGCTCTTCTATTTCCAACCGCTACGACATAATTTTGTAATATGAATATTAGAGAACGAGTTAGGTCCCAATTAGGTAAATTACCGTTTAATTAACTAACAACCGTTTAATTAAACGCCGATCCCTCGGAAATAATCCCAGCAACGTAACAGCGGCGAAACGTGTATTCCTTCGTGTCACGCTCGCGCTCTTGCATAACGTCTAGACCATATGTTGTAACGTAATAAAGTTTTCAAAAATCTGCCGGCAACGATATCACGTTATTCCGTGTAATCGGTTGTTTCGAACGGTTCCACGTGCATACAGGTAAGCAGGCAAGTACCTGTATGTACATGTGTACGAATACACGCGTCGGCTCACCCTGGTTAACGAGAATTCTCACGTTGTCGCTCAGTGGTAAGTCGACGTAAATATTTTTGGATGGTGTTAGACTGAATAATACCGGCAAGGTCGACGGCGTGGAACATTTCTCTCGAGAAAGAATCTAGACTGCAGGGGTGATTCATGTCGCGTGCTGATGCTTTGCAACGCACCATTGCAATCGCACGCAGCTATTATTTAATATACTTGAAAATTACAGTTGCCTCGAGTCAACGTCAGTTATTGAAAGAGTTCTGTTTCACTTTTCTGTGAAGAGAAAGATAATCTCCGGCGATGATTAATAACTGTTTGAACACGTACCTCTCGTACTTCACTTGCATAGAATGAGCGGAGTTGTCCTCCCAGTAATTCTGTGTCTCCATCATTTTGCCGCATAGAATCGTTTCCGACGCACAACACGATCACTTCTGATCTCCAGTCGTCGCTGTCACCGCTTGCTTCTGTCTCTTTCGGCTCCTCGCCGAGGATTATCCTCAACTTTCTCCGTCTCTGTTTTCACGCGCGAGGTGCCGAAAAACGGTTTTCTCTTTAAATTCACGCCCGTACCACGCAACGTCCGACGTACAGTCCGCAGCCGTAATTGAGCGCGAAATTTAACGACACGCACAGGACCGTCGTTTGGCGCCGACTGTCGAATTACGAGTATACGTGGCTAGTATTTCGAAAAAAGAAAGAAAAAGAAAAGAGGGTCCTCTTTGAACCGATGGCTTTTTGATCGATAGTGCGCACCCGACGACTAGGTTAGGTTCGCCTCCACAAACTCACTGACACACTCGAAACGACACGACGGACCAGGAGGCCGGTACTTGGGAATCGCCCACGTCTTTCCGTCCAGTCACACTCACCGATATATCTGTACTGGCGCCCTCTTCTTTTCTTCTCCGTCTTCTTTCTTACTTAACGATCTCTCTCTTTTTTCTCTTTCTTTCTTTCAGATCCGACGATCGAGTCGTAGATCGATCTTTCTCTCTACGCAAGAGAGACAGAGAGAGAGAGAGAGAGAGAAACGTAACGATGAAAATTTGAAAATTTTCCTCCAATTACCCGACCGATGCTGTAGATCTCGTCTCTCCTGTGGACAGCCGATAAAAAAAAGAAAAAACGAACACGGCTCGTTCTCAAGGCATGAATGCGAACGAGTGATAAGGCCGTTGACTTGCTCGGCCGCGAAATTCCACGATATACTAACCGTGGCAGGGCCGTAAGAATTGAATGGATCGTGCGTTCGCCTGGCGCGCGTTCCGAAACCTATAGGCGCGCCTCGTACGATGCGCACGCATGCACTTTACGAATTTTCACGTGCGATGCTTGGCGGCGCTCGAAGATGTTGACGCTGGGTTAACAACTACGTGACATGCACGATTGAATTCTTGATCGATCGTGCGTACACCTCTTTATCGACGCCCGCGCCTCCATACCATATATATAGATCCGTGTAATTTGAATTTCCAACAAACGACGAGAATTACAGGAGAATAATTTCGTATCGCAGCGTGTGTGTAAATACGTGTCGTCTCCTTAGGCAGGCTACACTACGCGTATAATGCGCGACCCTGTTCGATTCTCGCGATGGTCCGCGGTGTGGCACGCAGACCAATGGTGGGAGCGATCCAGAACCATCCCAGGCACGGAACCATCGATCCCAGAGCCACGCAACTTCGCGATCCAACGTAAACTGTTGTCTACTCTTTTCCATACAGCTTGCGTCGTTGTCCGCATTGTCGATGTTACGTGTCGTCTTCTTCCACGTTTTTCTCCCTTATCAGAGGGAATTTTTTTCTTATCAAGGAAACAGTACAAATACCGAGCGATACATAGCTAAATATTTCTTTTTTTTTTTAATCTACGATATCTTTCAACGATGATAACGTGTGCGCCCGCGAGTTTTACAAAATTCTTCGATAAGACAATTTGTTCTCGGCATATCACGTGCTGATAATGTTACGTGTGGATCGATATGGTGATCTTGAAATAACTTTAGCGATACTCGCGCCGGTATATTGTTACGAAAACAAAAACAAAAACAAGAAACATTAATCTATATCTAAACATTCTTCCAAATAGCGCGAGATTTACAGACAAGTATTTTTTCGATCCTCTATAACGTCGTACATATATTATTGCGAAAATTGAAATCATAAATCGACATTGACAATCATTGAACGATAAATCGTTTCCTTGCATCGATCATCGGTCTGATAACATCGCACCAGCGTCACGTGATTTTTAATGGTTAACGACCGAAATCCGAGTCGTAAAAGTTTAAACGTACGTAGCGGTATCCGATGAAAATAGCTGCTCGTCACAATATTAATCTGCATACTACTATTCGTCGCGATATAAACACGCTTTAAACAAAACGTGCAAGTACACGAGTCTCGGCATTTCGAATACGTACATAACTATGTACGTACGTACGATATACCTTTCGAGCATGTCAAAAATTTAAAGACCACAAATTCCCGTCGCGGACAATGAAACCGAATCACCTTAATGACAAACGACCGAAAGTAGACAAGGTTCCTCTGCGTTTCTCAATAGTCAGCAATAAAACGCGATGCACGTATACCAAGAGTAAGTGTAATTTAACGTGATATCGTGCCGCGAAGTCGACTGAATTTCTCGAGCGTACGCTTTCACCCTTCCGTTTCGCTGAAATCCCGCCGATACGATTCGATACGATACCGTGATCTGAGGAGAAACTAGCTACTTTTCTTTCTCTCTCTCTCTTTCTCTCTTTCTTGAATTCAACGAAGAATCGCCGGGCGCGACGATGCAAATCCACGAGAGTTCGTTCGCGAGATTCGAACGAGGCAGAAGCGCTCGGATCGCGTAGGGGGTGACCGGGTGACGTGTAAAAGGGAAAGAAAAATAGTGACTTTCCACGCTGGTGAAAGTGTGCGGCGAGGAGGGTGAAGTGGGGACTTGAGACGTTACTGACCAACGCGGGGAGTGGTGAACGCTTGGCGGGGAGCGGAAGGTGAGGAACGCTCGCTAAGGTGCAGAGTGGAACGAAGAGAGGGATATGCGGTTACCACGCTATGTGACACGTGCGCGTGACGTCACGGGGCCGGTCACGCGAGCACCGTGTGCTCCCGGTCACGTGTCCTGTCACGCGCTCGTTCCTCCCTTCTCCTCGCCGTCTGCCATCGCTGCTCTCCTCAAACGACTGCATCCCTTCCTCCGCGAGGCTATCGACCGTCTCTCTCGTCGTCACCTTTTTACATATCCCACTCTCCTGTTCTCCTTGTTCGTTCCCGATCGCCGCCTGTGCGCCGTGAATTCGTTCTTTCTTCCTCCAACCGAAGCGTAAGTACGAGAGACCCGGCAGACTCGAGACGGGTGACACGAGGACACGGCACCGGAGCGTAATGATAGCTCTCGTTCTCGCACGATTTGACGATATGTTTATACCTGCGCCGTCGTGGCGTTTGCGTGCTTCGTTGATCGTTCACGCACACACGTGACTGTACTCCCGGACGGACGTTCGTTCCTTGCGTTCGTCGTAACCGGCAGATTAAATTTTAATTATTCAGCGTCCGCCGTTGCCGCTTCACGTGAATTTCTAAATGCCGAGCTTGCGTTCACGAGAACCGGGTTATTGGAGCATGTATGTTTGTCTGAAAGTGTATTGGAAACAAAAATGACATAAGACGCTTACGATTTCAGTTCCAACGATAGAAGAACGAATACATAAACGGAGCTCCACCGTACTTGTAATTATAATCGAGCTTTTGAAACGAACGATAGATTCATCGTACGAAAGAGCCGTAGCTGTGGACGGATGGTTAAAGAAAGGAATATTATTTACTTGCACACTATCATTAGGGTGACGGTTTGAAAACGTACTTTACATCCGCGACCAAATCCAAACTGTACAAGTCGTCCCTTTAAATAATGCATGCGAGGCAGTAAGTTGACAATGTGACAGCCTCTATAGGGTCGATCGAAGCGAAAAAGAAAACGTGAAAGAGCGTAGCGTTTGGCTGCGATTTTAATCTCGATCATAATACGTACTTGTTCTAGACACGACATACTTTTCTAGTTTTACGGGTCACCTGTGGAATCCAGATCTCGCTTCACGTTACACACGTGAAGTATAAATATATATATATATACACGGGCGATCAACATATACACATAATCGTGTATAGCTGATTATTTTCATTCGGTCGACGTCGCGCGCGACTGGCGTTAAAAGCTGAAAAGAAATTAATTACGGTGAACGCGCGGAAAGAATGTGGCTAACGATGCGTTTTTGCCAGCAAGATTTACGCATTACGAAACGATTTTTATGACGTTGAACGTCCACGGACGAACTAGAAAGTATGAGCATTTGCGCTTATGTAAACGGTGGCCTGCTGGCTGGACAGGTAATTTCAAGACGAACGATTTAATCTGCAAACAGAAAGGATCTGCGAGTATCGAAATATATATATATATATATATATATATATATATATATATATATATATATATATAATATTTTTCTACCAAATGTCGAAAAATGTCGCGTGCTAATTAATCTCAGAAAGTAAACAAAATTATGAGAGAAAAATACTAAAAATTACGATCGTCATGACCAAATGGTAAAATTCGATACCTCATATATTTGCGATACGCACAATATATATTCGTGGCTCGAATGCTTCACATTCACCGAGAAAGTGAAACATTTTGGCTGGCTCTCCCTTTAAAAGCGGCTACGAACTTGACGTATGCACGAGTAACGCGCGTAACGCGACCGATTCGAAAATAGGCGTCTTATTTTCTGCACGGCTCAGGAGAAAATAAACGCAATCTGTGGCAACTCCGAGCTATTCTTGATCTGGTACACCATTACGCGTCCCGTGTCCGTACATTAATCGGCCCGATCTTCGTTCGGCCGTAACTGAAACGAAATTATTGAATCTAATTCGCTCGTCAATTGGCCGTAATGCTCGGACGGCGATATTTCGGTTCAGCTCGAACGGTCCGGCATAAATAGGACTGATAGGGCGTCGTTATCGTGGCTCAGATCTTTAACCTTTGATTCCGGATTCTATCGCGAGATACCGGGCAATTTAAATTCCTTCTAGAGCGCTCAAGACGGATTCCTCTTTGAGCACGGAATTAAATTATGCGTCGTTCAAACGGTGACCATGTCCCGGCCGTGTGCCTACGTGACTTTTAGATAGAACGGTCGCCGTGGGTGGACACATGTCGATGAATATTCAACAATGTTCGCATGTTTTTGACGACCATTGTCGTGCTACAATTATTTTCGTACGTCGTAATCGACCTTGTAGCATCTCTGACAATCGGATCTTCTGAATACCTTTGAATGAAGCACGCCATCCGTTTCTCTATCGCTTTGTGTCGATTTTCACGCAGTGTGTGTGTGTGTGTGTGTGTGTGTCTCGCGATACACCTTACGTAAAACCGAAGAACGTTGGAGCAAGTGATGACGCGGCAAAGTGAAATTGATGTGGTTTTAGAGAGAATGGAAGAAACAGCTGGACAACAATCACACAGAGGGTCGTGTGAGGGCACATGAAAGTAATTACGTCACGATGATTGCATCGTCGAATGCATCGAGGTGTTTCCCCCTTTCGGTTGAATCGCCTGAAAATCAGCGTTTCGCAGAGATGTCCGATGTCACTCTGCCCTTGACAAATTGGAATAGTCGCCTAGCCGAGACATAATCGCAACTAATTACAACACGTCGTGTTCCCTTCTCGCCCTGGAATCGACGAGTCCTGATAGGTCTGCACGTTCCCAAGGAATCGACTCCGTACTTGAACCTGAATATCCCACGAATGTTTCTCCCTCCTTTTTTTATCGCGTGTGCAGCTCATCGGGCAATCCATTTTACGCTACGCCATCTCACGCTCCAATTTAATCCCCGAATTACCAACTTCTTGTTGAAAGTACGTGGAGAAACTACCTTCTGCGAACGGTAACGTGTAATTAATTAAAAATAATTACATCGGCAATTAGCACGTCGATTGCTTGTTATTCGCGTTCAGATTTTTAAAAATATCTGTGCATATACGGCGTTGAAATACATACCATCAAACATCGTGTACTATTAACGCTGCGTTAAAGGTCAGCCAGAGCGATTAATTGTTAAAGTTCCTAATTCCATGCAAACCAACGACACCGGTCAATAATTTCAAACACGTATACGTATACATATACACGCATATACGTGTCCGTAAGTGTCTGGACACGGAGAACAGCATATAGAAGAATACCGTAACTTCAGTTGCGCCACATAACTCGCCTATCCTTCGGCCTTCTAAAAGAACGAGACGCGGCATTGCACAATCGAAAAGTCGATCGGTTGTGTTTCAAACAGGTCCGCGCAAAGGATCTGCGGGTTTGCAAATTTTCAAAGTCAAACGATCGTAACACGCAGGGCGTCGGCATCGTGCGTAATTCGACTGGTGATACGTACGTAGATAATGGACCAACGTCCAAGAGATGTCATCGTGCACCGTGCGCACGAAGTGCATAATCAGCTTTCTGTTCTACCGAGTGCCCGGTCGGGCACATTGCGTGCACGTGTCGGTAAGGGTAAAAGCGTGGTCGAGCGCGTGACTCGACGTTCGAGGCGTGCCCTTCTCCCGATCACGTGGAATGCAACGCGGTTCTCCTTCTCGCCGTCTCCGTTTGCGGTTGCGACGTGCACGCGTTTCTCTCTAATTCACGAGTCACGCTAACCCGTTTTCTCTGCCCGAGTCCGAGTCAACTGACACGCAGGTATGCGCCGATCGCTGCACGTTCATCGTGGCGTCTCTTTGCGTGCGCCTTTCGATCGCCGGAGAAAGAAAAAAATGCCGAGCAATCGAAAAAAGAAAAAAAAAGAGAGAGAGAGAAAAAAAAGAAAAACACACCAAGTTCTACAAATGTACAAATCAATATGCAGAGTATCCAGAGTGTAATTTCTTTCGATCAACAGCGAGAGCGACCGAGAATTTTCTGTTTTATTTGAACAACTGACATACAGTCGAATCGTGGACTACGTGACAGACGAAGTCGGTTTTTTAGACTTTCGTTGATCCGTCCGAGGAACGTTCGGAATATTCTGTTTGCAAATGTATTCTGAACGCACGTAGTGGCAATATTTCTGTTGCCTTTTCTAATAGACGTATCCGTTCGATTTGACACGTACATCATCGTTTCACTCAAATTAAGATAAAATTCCATAACAGTAACAACATAGGGAGCTAATTATAGCACTGTTATCATAATACCAAAAATAGATCGTTTAGAATGTACGCTTGAAATCAACGATGGATGCTCGTTATCGATACCTACGTATAAGGAAACCTATAGCAGGCTGAGTGACTATTTAAAGCGAACCTTAGAGACGCACTTCCGGCCTAAATACGCGGCTCGAATGCGAGATCCGGTTTCTGATTATATTTTGAGGTCACCTGTTACCTGCGACAGATCGTGATTTATAGTTGACTTTCAAAAGGCTAGCTGCCCGTTGAGAATCGCTGCAAAGTTGAATTATCTCGCAGCTGTTATTTACACGTTCTATTTATAAAATTTGCAAAAATACTCTTAACATTTATTACGGCTAATGATAGTTAATGATATGAATAATTATTCATAAGAGAAAAAAAGTGTAAAAGCGGCACATGATTGATAATAGCGTCAACACGTGTAATTTGTATATAATTCATAATTCATGTTCTGTTCGTTGAAACGTTCATTGAAACGTTTTTTAAAACCGTTTTATTCCTAGGTCGCTATTAAATTCATCAAACAGAATGTTGAAATATGGGTGGCAATCGAGCGACAAGATTGCCATGTGTCTTTACACGGATCCCTGAACATAACAGGTCCAAGGAGAGTCGTTCTAATTTGACAGCGTCCGTGAAAATCTTGACAAACAAGAATAAAACGACACATGGCGCCTATTGCAATCAGTAGTATGAGACTCGTTTTCACTGGCTGATAAAAATTTGCTCGTTTAGAATAACGTCGTACACAGGCTGGATTCTTCTTATCTTTTGTACTTTTTAGATATTACCAGGAAAATAATATGCAACTTTGTAACTTATTAACTTCCATGGAAGCAAAATATTTTAGTATGCCGTTATCTTTAATAAACTGCCGATAAAATACTGTTTTGGAAATGTAAGTGTTATCAAAATACGCTTATCGATAATATTATCAACGTCCATATGGTAGAGCCTGTGTTGTAAAAGTTAGATAGCTACTACATTAATAGAATAGGTATTCGAAAGTATCTTTCATCGAGTATTTAGAACGGAACAGGCATGTGGATTAAAAATTACAAAAAAAAAAAAAAGAAAAAAATTAAGAACTTTGTGCATGTGAAATATTGATTTAAAAGTATTCAAAAAGCAACTCTTTATTGCTATGTAACATGAGGTATTTACGAATCATTTAAAAAATGTTTTAAAGAACAGTAAATTAAAGTGGAAAAGAACATTTTTTAAATCTATTGATTCATTCATTTCCCGATTCCTTTTTAAGAATATACTCGCAAATAGAATTACATTCCATAAATCACGCATTTTTGCCATAATGTATGTGTTTAAGATGGTTACGTGCCGCTGCCAAAATCGTTAACGTAATCTATTTTTTTATCTTCGCATACTTTTCAGACTCCGTGTCACGTTTTGCTCGAACATGCTGCATCAGTTAACCAACTTATAAACGCACGTACTGGTTTCCCACAAACGTAATCGATTTTTTTAAATACAGCCGTCTTTCAATTCAAAATAAGCAATGGATTGACTCACCAAAAAAAAAAAGAAAAAAAAAGAAAAAAAAAAAAGAACACGACTTTTTAGTATCAGTCTGTCATTGTACATATCTTTTCACATAATGCGATGTTATGTTTTGTAAAAGATAAATTAAACTGTCCGATTATAAAACCATCCAGTGTATTTTTAGCGTTTTTATATTCTCTTTGAAATTATTTTATTATCAGTCACGCAAAGAATGCAAGTGTGCTACTATCGAGTGCATCGAACAAATTGTTCAAAGACAAGTATTGAAATATTGAATCATGAACTATAGAATCATTTCGATTTACCGACTCCATCCTATTTTTTTTCTTTCTACTGTTTTGACTGTTGTGCTTTATCGTCGACCTTTGCTTTCGACGAAATTGTTTCTCAAGAGCACTAGATACTGCAGAATCATTGCCAAATTTAATGTTTATGATTCTCAAGAATCAGCTTACTTATCTCTTTTAGAAAATATTATCAAATGACATTACGACTATCGTGATACACAGTATTTATGACAAAAAAAAAAAAGAAGAGCAAATACTGAATCGAAATTGAGACGCGCAACAAGTATTTAAATAATCTTTTCTCATATTCATAAATACCAACTCGGTTGATATCTCGAAATGTGTTACGATGTGAATGTTTTATTGCATTTCTATTGGATTTCGTTTCATAAAAAAATATCACGTGATATAAAATAAATATTAAAACTGAGAGTGACCTTATAGGATAGCTACTGTGAACGCACACATCTTACCGGCTTTGTTTACGCCACCAAGTGTGTAGCTTCAGACTGTTATCGCTGTGAAACCGGTTTGACGTTGGATTTATTCGGTTTCGATATCGACTACTGCTGGGGAAGTTCAAGAAGGCAACTGACGATTAACAATGGCCATCGGATGTCGAGCTGTCTCTAACCAGTTATCGAGATTTTTCATTTTTCCTTCAATCCGCGTGCACGTGATAACCGACGATAAATCTACTCAATATAAAAAGAATTTAAGAATGTTATTATTCTGGGATATCTCTAAATCGACTAAATTAATTTTCTTTTACAGCATCTTTCATGATTTTCTGCAGAGCATACGTCAGCAGCATGCATTCAGTACGTGTTAATTCTAATTACGATAATTCTTCCCCTCTTTCGCTTATTTTTACTACAATTCTTTTCTCTTTTTTCCGTTGATCGTTGCGTTTAAACATACCGTATTTATTCGTCGATTTACTCTTATGTATCCAATATAATCATTTATTAACTTACTAAATACAAGTACGTTTTTTTAGTTTCATGTTTTCTTTTCACGTGCGAATGATGAGTGCACGATAGAGGTCCTCTTATTCTCTTATAGACATTCAGAAAATCAGTTTATCATCATTTCATATAGGAGCAGAATGAATTTTTCTTTTTTTTTGTCGTGGAATACAATTAATACGTAATCTGACGATAAACATTAATCGCGTTGATTAATGTCGTCCTTTTGGTATGCTCGGTTTATATTTTCATCAATATATCTCAAATTATCAATAGACAAATCATCTGTTATTATTAATCGGTAACCTTGTAATCGAATAGTTTTGTACATAATGTACAAGAGATACATAAAATTGTATTTTTTCCTTTTTGTCATGTACCATGAAAATTGGATTTAATATATAACAGCCATTCTTGGTACATAAACTCACGCAGTTCTAGTCTTATTTATAAATTGACAAATAATTATCTTTATAAACAATTGTTTATAGTTTTCATCATTTACCCGCAATGTTCTATTCACTTGCAAATATACAAATGTATTTTGCACCCACGAATGATCGACATACTATTATTTTTCTCGTTATTATTTTCGTTTTTTTAAAGTAATTAAAAATATAAAATTGTTGCTTCTAATAACAATATAAAATTATATGGTATATATAGTTCAAACTTTGCAATTTCAGCAATAAACAATCATACTGTATAACGTTAACATAATGAAATGTAGAGAATGGACATAAAGTGTTGTTCTGTTATTCTAACAGAAATTGAAAGAAATTATAAAGATATTGAAATAGATTATTATACAAATCATGCTACAGAATTGTAAAAGACTGGCTGTTAAAACAGGCTTGTCGTGTCGACTACAGTTGTGGGAGCATTCGATAATTTATACTGCATGCGATAATTATATTTCATCGAAAGAATTAAAAACAAATTAATTATTTATCCCGATTATATTCAGTCCCGTTCGCCTCTTTCTTCGGCACGTTCTTCCGCTCTTGCTTTCATTCTAGTTATAAATGCTTGTCCTTTACTCTTTCTGAAGTTCTCATATGGATCATTTAGATTAATACCAACGCCTTTATATTGATCGTTTTTATCCCTAATTTCACCCCCCGATATTGGAGCTTCAATACCCTGTTCATTGGCACCAAGTCCGGCACCAGCCCAACCCATTTTCTTGAGCAACTGATGACCTTTGTTACTCTCATCGAGACTAATTTCTTGAGGAGCTTTACTGTAAGTTGATCCGCTGAAAGTAATTAATTCGTAGAAATCGAATTTTCTTACAAAATATGTATTTCTATAAGTACTGATACTTACAGGAAACTGGGCGGAGTTGGACTTCGATCCTGCCTGTCCATCCTCCTATCTGGACTTCGATCCTTGTTGCTGTTCCTCCTTCTTCTGTTTCTGTTATTATGATTGTTATTGCGACTATTACGTCTGTGATTAGCAGCAGGTGATCTAGATCTGCTTCTACCTCTAGATCTTGAGCGTGATCTACTTCGAGATTTACTTCGATATCGTTTCTTTGGTGGACTAGGACTTTTGGATCTTGGCCTTAGAATTGGCGATGGCGATTTTGATTTTTGCCTTATACCAGCTGCTATATCTTCTTCTTTACGTTTACGCGCGGCATTTTTCGCTTTATAATATTCGTATAAACCTAATTTTTCCCACCCGTCGCTATAATATACAGATATTACGATCAAAAATTTTATTCGACATTTATCGTACGTTGACTAATTTATATGTGTAATGTACATTACCTATCTCGCGGAGAATCGTGATTTGGTGGTGCATAGAACGCTTCTACAGCCGCTACTAATCGTTCACTTGGAGGAGCAGGTGGTGGAAGCCTAATGGCTTCTGGATCCAAAGGTTTATATTCAGCATCTTCCAACTTGATCAGAGGTACCATCAAGCCAGCAGGAAGTTCGTAATAAGGCATACTGGGCATTAAATCTTCAACGGAGGGTTCGTGTATAACAGGTGGTGGACCAAATCCAGGCGGAGGTTTTGAAAAATCTGGCAATGGAACATTTGAAAATGGTGGTGGTTCGTTTCCAGGTGGTACACCCCATCCAGGTGGCGGTTGACTGAAATTTACGTCTGTGCTTATCGGAGCAGGAGGACCGGAATGACTAGGTGGTATAGACATGTTTTGTTGATTCTGTAAAATATGAATTTCAATCAGTATTTGTAAAATATATATACATGTACAACATAAAAATGAAAAGATCAACTTACCAATTGCGGCGGTGGCGGAGGGGGAGCTTTCAATTGTTGATCAATTGCAATCTTTTGTTGTTCGATATTTTGAATTTGTCTCAAAGCATGCGTAACAAATGCTTGATGTTGTGCTTGATAATTATCAAAGGTTTGTTTCGTTGACGTGGTGATCGGTGTAATTGCGCTGGCATGCTGTGCAACTAGGTTAGCCTGATATTCAGACCAAGATGTACTTGGTTGTTTCAATTTATCTATAATTCCTTCATCAAAGTAATTATTTTTTGACTCCCATAAACTTAATAGCTTATTTAATTTATTAAGTTGTTCTTCTGATGCAGCTAATGAAGTGTTACAGAACATGGGAACAACAACACTTTCCATTGCCTTGCGAAGATCCATAGATTTTTTTCTTGCACTAAAGAAGTTTAAAATTAAATATCGTGCACAACTATTTTTATGGAAGTTATCAAACTTTATTATAAATATTATTTATACTGAAATTGAAGTGTTAAATCTTCCATTTATATTTCATCAAATAATATAATCCAATTCAAACTTCAATTTTTATAAATATTTTAAGCTTAAGGTCTGTAACTGTCCTTTTTTTTAAATAAATTACTTACCAATGATGTAAGACATCATTGACCAGGTAAATAATATGGAGTTTATGACTAAAATTTGTTGCTTGAATGACCCTAAAAGAAACAATGAAAAATCAATTGATTTATTAATATTGTAGCGTATAGATAAAGTCGAATATAACGTACTTCTTCAGCAAATGATCCGCAACAACTTGATTACTTTGCGGAGTAACCGAATTTTGAAGTATCCAGGCTTTCCCTGCACTTATGCTATCTTTTGTGCAGCTATCAATGATAGGTTGTAACACTGCATCAAAAGCAGCAAGATCTGTGTTTGTGCCCTGTGCATTATTCTGTAACGCTGTTTCTTGAGCTTGCCTCACAGCATCCTCAACCCTTCCTTGCTGTTGTGCCATCAATGCAGCATGTTGCGCAGCCAAATTTTGCTCTGATTGTCTAATTTGTTCCTGTAGCGTTGTTTGCTGTGACTGAAGGTTTGCTAATTCATTTTGAAGCCATCCAGGAGGTCCTCCAATGTTAACCGATTGAGTAACAGCACCAATAGATGGATTCACACCACCCATAGCACCAGGGACTGGTCCAATTGGTGGTCCTGCATTTCCTGGTCCTCCAATTTGTCCTGGTACTCCAGCTATAACTGGACCACTTTGATTTCCCACTGGTCCAATTCCCACAACTGGATTTAATCCATTGTTTTGAGTATTTAGGCCAGGTGCAAGATTGACGTTATTCAGTGGCTGCGCGACCGTAGCGGTTGTTTGCTGCTGCTGCGAAACGTTTAAACGTGGGTCTGCATTTTGCATTGGATTTATTCCTTTTTGCTTTAAAACTGTAAACGAATGACGGTGGATTATTGTAAGATGTTTGAGTCCTTCAATGGATATTGAAAAAGTATACAAATAGTCCAATTTCTGTTGAGTCTTATCTTCTACCAGTGCATAATAAAATTCTTGGCATTTATGAGAGAATTATATCAAAAATTCGGTAAGTCTTTTGGGAGCACTATATTCTTTCCCTGTTTTATATATTATATATACATGTATTTATTTATTTATTTATTTTTTTTTTACAGTACTAGGGTATTACAGGGTATTATAGTGAGTTTTAGTTCCCACACAGATTGAAGCAATATATCAACAATGTAGTCCGTATTAGATAAGCTCCATTAAGAATCTTAAAACTACATCTTCTTAAAATCATCATTGCCAAGAAATATAATATGTCTTTAGCTAAAGCATTCTGCTTAATAAATAGCAATCCCAAAATCTTGAAACGAAGTGCTCATATTCGATGAATAATAGTTTTGTATGTTCACTATGCGAATTCAGACCCATTCACCCGTATCTCTTTTTTTTCAAAGTCATTCCTCGTTCGTTGAATAAAGCATGGCCATTATGCTTCTCAATTGTTGTAGCTGTTAAGGGGCTGTATCCCACTTACTGGCTTGCTCTGTAGTCACTTTGTACTGATAGTAGTTGAAGTGCTCTCCACCAAACAGGAAACCAAATTTTGGATTGTCCTTCTGCTTGTTTTTCGTCATCTGCTCGAACTCTGGTCCGTTGCGAGCCACAAACTGTGCCAGTTTGTCTATGATGTTCCGTAACTCTATATCTGGGTATTATATCAAAATGACCAGAATTAGTGTGACACCCTAACGAATGACTAATTACTTATACAATGATTAGAATATAAAAGGCAATATTTAAATACAGTACTGAAATAGGATTTCTTATTTATTTATTTATTTATTTTTTTTAAGTACACAGTCCTAAATCAGCCCATCGTAACCTGAAATATTGAATCTGCTTTGAAACTTATCGCTCTGTCAATGTATCTACGGGGATTTGCCTGAGGATAATTTAATTCGTCGAGTGAATTGCTTTTTAATGGTAGCCTAATACGTCGCACAGGTTTACATAACCTACTATTTAAAATCTACACGTTGTCTTTTTTTTTTTTAACGTATATCGCATTAGTTCCATTGCGTGGAAACTCACAAATCCTCAATTCTGACTAACTAAAATGCTAAAACGATAGATCACAGACATTACAGTTAATAAAGAAGATGGAACGTTAATATGCTCGCCCGGAGTGGGAATGTGCGAAACCGCGCTTGGCCAAATCGCCAAATCACAACATTTTTCTCTTACCTGTAGGTGCTTGGTCCATTATCGCGACTACTCTTTTACTTTAACACTGAATTCGATTACGTTTATCGTTACTTTTGTTAACACTTTTTCGTACACGATCGTGATACGGATCCGGAAAACATTATTTTCTCACACTGGACACGACAACGCTAGACGTCGCCATTAATTCTCGAGTATCCGTGTTTCGAGGAATCACCACCAGAGCCACCACTGGCCACTGACACGCCAACATTTCACACGCGGAAATTTCTCGATTTCGGGTCATTTTCATTTACGTTTCGTAGAATTTGCTTTTCTGTCAGTTTTCCGGAGTAATTGTGTTTCTATCGATTCTCTGTGCGATAATCTTGAATAGTAAGTATTTACACTGGCATATTTCTAACAAACTATCACATCTCTATTTGTACATCATCTTTACAATTGTGTAACGTAAACGTGTTCCAACAAATGTGGTCCTTTGTCTGTACAAAATACAATATTTCAGATTCTCTTGACGTTGTTAAAAATTAATCCTTGTCATATATCATAATTAAATAGATACATCAGTATTGTTTCATTTAGTTACTACCTAACCTATCGCGCCACTTCTGTCACATATTTAAAGTTCATTTTTCTACATTTCACCAATTATTGAGTAATATTTGATATTGCTATTAATAGTAATTATTAATTTTTGTCTCTGTTAGATAAATTACAGGTATGCCCGTAGCAGAAGTAAAATCTAGCTGGGCAGATGAAGTGGAAGAAGAAGGAGGAGCGTTACCTCCACCTTCAGAGACCTATGAAAATGGGTTCAAAGTTCTCACCGAATACAAGTATAATCAGGATAACAAAAAAGTCAAAGTGGTTCGCACGTATAAGATTGAGAGACGTGTAGTTTCAAAGACAATTGCTGCTCGTAAGAATTGGGCCAAATTTGGAGACTCTGTGGATGATCGACCTGGACCCAATCCTGCAACTACGGTTGGTGGTGAAGATGTATTTATGCAATTTATTTCTAGTAAAGAAGAAGAAAATAAGGTTGAAGAAGATAGCCTTGACAAATTGAAGAATATGGGAGATAAGGGTGTAGTTAAATGTCGAAATTGTAATGGAGATCATTGGACCTCCAAATGTCCTTACAAAGACACTGTGCTTGCTGGGGGTACGTTTCTCTTTTATAAATTAATTTCTAGAATTTGTAAAAACATCAAAAATTTTAGAATTAAAGATGATACATGATTTAATTTGCAGGTAAAGTGCCAGATGATAAAAAACCACTTATTAATACTGGTACTTCTGGAACAATGACAGAATTGAAACCTCAAGGAAGTAAATACATCCCACCTGGTATGCGCGACGGAGGTAGCAAACGAGGAGATTCTATGCAGATGCAAAGACGCGACGACACTACCGCTATTCGTATTTCCAATTTGTCGGAAAGTACTACAGATGCAGATTTGGATGAACTTGTCAAGCCATTTGGATCTGTCCTCAAGTTCTATCTTGCCAAGGACAAACAAACTAATCTCTGTAAAGGATTTGCATATGTGCATTTCAAATATAGAGTGGAAGCAGCAAAAGCTATTGCTACGCTTAATGGATATGGTTATGATCATCTTATTTTGAATGTAGATTGGTCAAAACCACAACAGCAAAATAATTAAGAGTATTAATAAAAAATTCAATTTCCGTTGCCTAGATTTTGCAACGTGTAAAAATATAGGAAATATGCAAATGTTTAATTGTGACACCAGGAACAGAATGCAACAGTTTTATTTGAGATTTTAATGTCTTGCATGACAAAAATTAGCATAGCGAACACGTTAATTTTTTACATTATATTCGACCAATAAATAAAATAATAAGTCTGGTTCCTGGTGTCACAATTTACTGCCATTTTTAATTCATTCAAAAAAAAAAAAAAATAATCATGCATTCAGTAATGTAAAAAATGATGTAACTATTAAGATGTAATTTGTATTTCTAGCATTTTGCTGATCAAAAATAAATAATATGCCATGAAATTTTGTGTTTTTTGATTCAATGTTAAAAGTTATTCCAATATTTTAGAATTTTATTCAAGAAATTGTATAATAGATTAAGAAAATGTATACATTTTTCTTTTTCATATAAAAAGAGATTAATATTCAATTCTATTGTCAAAGTCAAGATGAAAAATCTTTTTTTCAATACTTTTTATATTAAAATTTTATACTCAACAAATACACTGAATACATTTATCTGTCTAAACTTAAAATAATACAGTAATAAATATTAGTATCGCTGGTTCTAAGTGTTAGATTCTCAGGCGGTACTGTTGCAATTGAAAAAGGGAAACAAAGGAAATTATGATACGAATTAACGCTTATGTGATACGTACATAGATGCAAAAACAAAAGTAAAACAGTACAAAAGTAGTTACACAGATGCTTGTCACCTGTACGTTAAAACCTACAATTAATACTACATTGTCTAAGTACTTCGAAATGGTAACTCTAATCAACAACCTTATGCTGCTCAACGGAGCCTAACGAATATATCATACAGATAGCAAAAAACACATATTAACTTTTTCGTTTAATATATAATATATATATGCATATACTATATATATCGGTAAAACAATGTCATTTGAAAATATAATTAACAATATAATTATATATATATATTTTTTTTTTTTGTTTGCGCGTCATCGTACAGCTTTAACCGAAAGACCATTTTCACTATTTTATTGTCGATTCCTATAAAATCATCACAGTTTAAACTTGTCCGTCTTCATTCCATTTTTCTTTTTTTCCTTTTTCTCAAATGTTTCAGAACCTATAACGTGTGCTTGTCCGATTTTCTAGAATGCAATCATAGAAAGTTTCAAATAGTCATGACGCGCCGCCTCGTATCCTGCTGATTTCTTTATTTACAATACTAGTCGAAATTCGGACATCTCTCTTATAAAAAAGGACTTATATATTAGGGAATAATGTTAGTAATATGCACCGTGTAACCGTGTAATGATCGACCAAGTCAATTTCAATTTATGAAGGAGAATCTCTCTTTGGGCATCTTCAGTGAGATCTTTCTCAAGCGCGCTCGTGCCTTCAAGTTCAAGAATTTCGTCAGTTTCCACTGCTACGGAAGCACCTTCACTTTAATTTCTTAAACAGATTTCATGATAATCCGACACGACAGTCCACCGAGATACGCTTAAATTTTATTTTTAACAGTTCCCCTTAATCGAATTAGATTGTCGACTTCAGCGAAACATTCAGAAGAAAGCTTTCTCTTCTTTAACACGAAGAACAAATTTCATTGTCGTCGAGTCAACTGGAGCTTCAGCTCTATTTTACCGTTCCATCACTGCATTGGTCTTTACCAAACGGCGCATTTCTTTTCGGGATTCATTTTCGAGCCAAGAGGGCAATTGAAATCCTTGGAGAACTCCTCCATGTTCGAAAGAGGGCCCAGAACACGGAATTTGCCGGGACTGTGGAAGCCAGTTGTAATGCGAAGCTTCATTGCCTCCGGTCTGTACTTGCTGCACCAGGTGTTTGCTGCGCTGATCCAGAACAATTGTTCAGGAGTATAAGGAAGGCCTGGCAATTTCGGCTCCACGTGATTTCTTTGTACCCATTCTTGGTACGCCAAGTAGGCTTCCTTTATACCACCGTTGTCGGCGATGTTCTCGCCTTGAGTGTTGATACCGTTTAACTGTAAACACGAAAATGAAACGATTTCTCTTTGTACATCTATATTTCCTTTTATTTTTTTTTTTTTTTTTGAATGAATTGAAACATGCATTATAAAAGAAGGAATATGCTAATTGTATAAAGAAAAAACCTATTTATGTTTACAATTAGTTTTGATAAATCTTAAAACTACTAAAGTGACTGACTTATAATTGTATAAATGACTAACTTATAATTTTTGTTAGATATTTTATAGATGTGAAACAGCACATTTTTGAAGATTTAAATAATTTTTCGAAGTATACAAACAAAAGCTTGTATATTTCATCGTATCATAAAGTTTTTCTATTTTACGGTCTAATCGTCGGTAGTTCTAGTGTTAATGTTGTCCATTTGAAAAATGAGAACTGTTAAGATCACGTTCATTGTTAAGAAAATTCTTGCTCTGCGTTAAAATAACTAGTCTATCGAACTAACATTTATGTTTATAGCAGTAGTTAGATAACGTTTGACCCGCAAGTGATGGTAAGCACCGTGCACGAGTTTGACCTCTTTGAGAAAAAGTTCGTGCCTTCGTTGGTCGATTATCATAGAAAGAATATCATCGTCGAGCGTTGTTTGCATTGTAGAGGTTCAATAAAGCTTACGTAATGTACTACATGGAATAAAGAGATCGAGAGCTCGTCGGTACCCATAAAATTAGAATCCGTATCGGACGAATGTATGTATCGATTAACGCAAATGATCATGGATGATTGAGGATGAGGAAGAAACGGGAACGAGAGAGCATGCTAATAAAAATCGATCATTACGTTCAAGCCGACATCTTCCACTGTGTAATTGCCGTATTGGTGAATGATGCACTCCGCTTTCTCCAGATATTTTTCTTTCGTTTGCGGCGCCCACCAGTCGACTAGATTTCCGTTTTTATTGAACTGCCTGCCCTGATCATCGAAGCCGTGCGTTATTTCGTGGCCAATAACGAAACCAATAGCGCCGTAATTCATGTATCTTGGCCGATCGTTACTGAAGAAAGCGCCTTGTAAGATACCAGCGGGGAATTCTGCAAAAGCGTTACATAAGCGTTATCGCCTTCTCACGGTATCAGCCAACGACTCGTTACAAAACTATCGTTTTGCATTGATTTTTACGAAACTCAATACTCACGTATACTGTTCTCGATGGACGAATAAAACGCATTAACGATGGCCGGCCTTCCGTGAGTCACCCAATCGGACTTGTTCACGGGTTTCCTCAGTTTACTGAAGGAGTATTCGACCCCGAACAAAGTCAGGTTCAAGATACCTTCCAAGTAATTGTCGGTCGTTAATTCCAGTTTCTCGTAGAATTGCTCGAGTTTCTTGTCGTCCAGTAATTCGTCAGGGTAAGCGATGTGGCTGGTCATGCTGGCCGCTTTGTCCAAAGCACTCTTTCTCGTTTCTTCGTCCATCCAATCAACCTAAAAAACGATCAAATCGCTTCCAAATTAGAGAAACCTCGAAACATTCGTTGTTTGGCATTGCGTTATTTGAAAAGAAATAAGCAAGATGGTGAGTTGGTCAAGTTAAAATTGACAAGCGTACCTTTTTCAGTATCTCAGTGAATTCTTGTCTAATATCAGCGACCATTTCCACGGCGTTCTTCTTGGCATCCTCTTTGAAGTATTTCCTAACGTACATCGCGCCGACACTTATGGCCAAGCTACCAGAAACTGTATCGATGCACTCCTTCCACCTGGGCTCTCTCTCCGTTTTCCCGCTCAACGCCGTGGAGTATTGCAGCTGCCTCTTTCGAATCTCGTCGGTGAGATAGCTCACAGAGGAGGCCGCCGCCCTCCACATCACGTAGTTAGCTTGCACTCTTCTCGGCGTGGTGGCCAGCAGTTTCTCCAAGCTTGCGATGTAATTGGGAACGCTGACGATCACGATTTCCTCTTCGTCCACTTGCGCGCTGGGCGCTAGAAGAGTGTTGAAGTATTCCTTCCATGGAACGCTGGAATAAGTCTTGGACAACTCTCGTACGGTCATGGGATTGTAAAGAAGCGTGGCGTTGCGACGCTTTTCATTCGGCAAGGAAATCTGCGGAATTAACGATGAAACTTTCAAGTGCAAATACACGAAAATTTTTTAGTTAGGTCTGGACCTTTTTTTTTAAAGTCTTGATCTAATGGTCAACTCACGTTGGCAAGCTTCATCTCAAATTCCAACGACTCTCTCAATTCGTTGTTTGCGTCGGTTTTATTTGCTCCGAGAATCACCGCGATGTCGATCATGTAGCTGTAGTATGCCTGTACGATTTTATCGTCGAAACCTTTGGACAAGTATTCGCGCGATAATCCAAGGGCAGCTTGATCTAACTGAAAGAAAGAAAGAAAGAGAACAGAACATTTTTAAATGATTAAATATTCGAAATTTTGTGTTGGACTGTGCGTTAACGCGACATTAGTACAATCGTTATCCGAGCAAGCACATTTTAAGTCATCCGTCCAAGTCACTTACTTAAATAAATATTGAGCTATAATCACAAATGCAATTTGACCACGTTTGCGATACAATTACTGGCGCAAAACTCTGCTAAATGGCACAGACTTTAAGGAAGACCGAGTTTACATTAGCAATTCATACGTTTGACTTTACAACCAACTTCTGTATTTCGCTCCGATGTATGCACGAATAATTCTGTTTGAGAAGAATGTGTCCGTCTGATTTTTCAGAGGTCAAAGCTTTACGGCCGTGGGTTTCTTGTATACGTACGTCGATTGTTCGTTTCGTGCTGTTCTTCAGATCAACGCCAATACTGAAGTCGATGAAGTAATCGACGGAGTAGCCCATCTGGCGGAATTTGTACACCGATTCCTTCCAGTTGAATTCATTTTCGTTCCACTGGTCGCCTTCCAGTACTGGCCAGCCACCGAGCTTTCGCAAGATGTTCAGCAAAGGATCCAATCCTTGTTGCTCGATGATCGCTGAAATAATTGAAGTAGTGTTACACAAGGTAAAATTAAACAAGATAATCTATATTTACATATATATATATATATATATATATATATATATATATATATATATATATATATACTCACTCTTGTTCATACAAGCCTTGTACAAATTCTTCGCGAGTCTGAACGGTTTCGGCTCGTCCGGTGTACTTTTTTCTTCGATGCTGGCCCTCAGCTGGTTCTGCAGCTCGTCGCTAATTTCAGTGAATGTGTTTACACTGGTCTTGTCGTCCGGGATAATGGTGGACTTGAGGAAACCGCCGCAAGCGAAATCGTAAAAGTCGTCGCACGGCTCCACCTCGGGATCCATGTTCTTCAACAGCCTGGAGGCTAAAGCCTCGCGATTAGCAATGTTGCTTCGACAAAAGTACAGAATCGAACGAAGCTAGAACCTTGATTACTCGAGTAATTTTTTTACTAACCCGTGTAGATGCATTCTTTCGTGGTGCACACGTCCTCGTCGCAGCTGGGTCCTTTGTCGATAACGTGAACGCCTTTATTCTGTTGATAACCGTTCAGGGCGTCGGCTGTGGATGGTAATCCCTCTGAGTTAACAGGATCTACTCACGCGTAGGCGGAGATGCAACACAAAAACATTGCGGGTCCATAATGTTAATGATTGTTAGTGACAGTTGCTTTTCAAGCTGTTTGCTAACAAACAATCCGATCAATGGATATGAAATGACTATGAATCCTACTGTTCGTCGAAAAATTTTATCCGAAATAAAAAAAAAAAAACAGCAACCAGAATCAACGTCCTCGACCGAGTACTGAGGAATGGATACGCGAACGGATACGTAAAGCAATCTAACCGTTAAACCGTCTAATCTCGCGGTGTCACGCATGCTTGTACATTGTTCCCGTCGCGATTCGCTTCACAGTTTGAATGAATCTTCGTGCAAACTTCTCGAACACCGGCGCTGTACAAAGTGCAATCAACCTCGGGCAACTGATCCATTCAGAGTCGGTACAACCGTCTCTCCTAAAAAGGATCGATCGACGCGATCAATTCATTCTACAACCTACAACAATTATCTTCATTGTTCGTTCAAAAACGCCAGACTGTTCTCCCAAAACGAAGCGAAGAGAATAGAAACGAGAGAATAGAATTTCGATAGTCGACTGTGTCTACGAAAGATTCAGACAGACTCTTTATGGATCATAAAACCTACCACGAGTGGGTTAATCGATTTCGTTGGCGATAAAGAAAAAAGTAACAATCCGTTGGAGCTAATCGTATCGACGATTTGTACTAAAAAAACACGATCGTTCGTAAAAATATTCCCGGTGATTCACGCTTTCGTTTGTTTCCTCGACGAAGTTATCGACGCTCGATCGAAAATATATACAAATGAGAAGATACACGGCCTGGCTAATAATTCGCTCGCCGGAGTGGATCGCCGCAAAGTACGAGAGGATGAGTAACACTCAAAACAATTGCTTCGATGCGTCAGAATCGGCGCGATCTCATTGACGTCAAATTACGCGTTTATCCGGCATGTTATCCTTCGTTGGTCGATCGTCCAGACTCTCCGCGCAACGAGAGAAAGAGGAAATGTGTGTATTCGCGTACCAGATTCGCCGTACCATATAAAGTCGCACGATTATCACGACTCGTACCTGATCGAATCCGATCGTGGTCTCGATACGCGGGACAAAGATGAAATAAGACTCTTCTTCTTTGGGATGGTTTCAAGATTCGCGCAGTGCTATGTTTCATATCATAAACATTACGTAATACATACGTAACATATATATTTATATTTTTACCGATCGTTCCTGATCATCTATTGTAGGTGGTGGTCAGAAATTTTGGTTATTTGGTTTCGTAAAGATTCACGGAATATCACGTTTGATGTGAAATGCGCGTATTTTTATTTGACATCTTTGCCAAAGTTCAGAAAAATCTTCGTTGCAAGAAATCACCGGACAACGTGTAGAAATACACGTGCTCGAATAATTGCGATAAAAATATATAATAAGTTGCGTAACTCACGTGTCAGAAGACCGTAAAATTAATAAACGGTACATATATATATTCTTAATTATACAGGGTGTTTCGTAACTTGTGGGAGCTGATTGCACGCTTAAAAATAATGAAAAAAAGTCATACAAATATATCTGTCTTCGTTTATGAGATATAATGAATTTTCTGTTTTAATTACTTTTACAAAAAATGCTCGAAATGACTACCCTGCACGCGTCTTGTCATTCATCTGGTTACTCTCTCTATCGTTCCTGGTGTTTCTGGAATTTGTCGGAAGCCTTGCTCTATTCTATTTAGTAGTATTTCAGCATTTTCAATCGATGTTGCGTGTACAATAGATTTTAAATGTCCCCACAAATGAAAATCTAATGGATTCAAATGCGAAGAACGAGCAGGCCATGCAATAGGACCTCCACGATCAATCCATTTATTTGCAAAGTGTTGATTTAAAAATTCCCTAGCCACTCGGCTAAAATGCGGCGGAGCTCTATCATGCATAAACCGCATACGAAATCTAATATCGACTGGAACTTCCTCTGATATTTCGTGTAAACGCGTGCTCAAAAAATCAACATACTTTGTGTTAGTTACTCATACTTTGTTAGTTTCCCATCAAGAAGAAAAGGTCCAGTTAAAAATTTATTAATTATTCCTGCCCATACGTTTAAACTAAACTGGTGTTGATGTCTTGAATGCACAATTACATGTGAGTTTTCTGTCATTTCTAAATTAGAATAACGCTGGATTATCACTTCAAACACGATCTTAAACGACGTGTATTACGATTATTAGTAAGAACTGAACTGATTTAGTGAGTATTGCGAAATTTGCTGAATCTTCAAATAGTCACACGAAAGATATCAAGAAAGTATTATTTGTAAACAATGCGAATTTTTGCTTACGTATTATTGCGGCCTATGGAAAGAGAGGCCGGACAGAGAATTTGCTCTGTTTATAAAATTCATTATACCTCATAAACGAAGACAGATAGGACATACATTTATATGACTTTCTTCCATTATTTTTAGGCGTACAATCAGCTGCCGAAGTGGGTCCCGCAAGTTACGAAACACCTTGTATATGCGCATAGAAACAAGCTAGAGTAACAGAATACGAACAAAGAAGCGAATTAAAATACCGACCGCTTTATGCAACAGCGTGCGCGTATATATATTTCGAGAAACCGAGGAGAAGTGCATTAATTCGCGGAGATAAATCAACGTGAGAAAAATAGGTCGCACGTGACATTAGCTGTCAATGAAATTTACGACGATTCGATTTGTAAGCATGTTTAGTCAGCTCTCACGTGCTCGAAATTCTTTTTTAATGGCCTTTCGTCCACGCCATCGAACCGTTATCGAACCGTTCTCTCGCTCGAGGATCGAAAAGCTCGTCTCTTCCAAGTTCTTACTAGCTAAACGTTGAGGTTTTACAAATGGAACAAAAAGCACTTGCCTGGAAAATAAGTTATCACAGAACGCTGCCGCGAGTCTGCCTATTATCTTATCTTATCGCAGTTTAATTGTTAGGCACGGTACATTCGTTCAAGTTCATCGTGAATGATTAAAAGTGTATTGTTATGCTTTGGGCGAATGGTGCCGTTCGACGCACGACGCGCCATTTTTTTTTTTTAGAAACCATTAAAAACTCCATCGTGCAAATTTACGGATTGTCAGAAAGGAAACGATCTCTGCATTCACTCGTTTGTTATTTGATGATTATCGCGCGAGATTGCAACTGCATAATTTTCGATATTCGTAATATGGATCATGGGACTCGTTGATGCTTCGAAATGATTGTTAATGGGAGCCATTAAACGACGTCGAGTACTGTTTTAATTGGAAGCGGAAGTGTAATATGATGATAACTCGTTCTCTTTGTGAGTTCAGGCTGATAATAATTGTGGCATTTGTAAGCTCGTTAAAGCGTGTGTTTATATAGGAGTGTAATTAATCTTGGATAAATAATCCAATGCGAATTCGATATTGGAAATAATGGGCATCAACTTTCAAGAGTAACAGCAACAGTTATTATGAGATATTCAAGTCACGAGTATTAAGTTCCTTCATCTTTCTTTTCATCGATAGTACAAGCGCTCGTTTATACGTAGCTTCTACATGCATTATTAAGACATTAGGCAATTTGAAAGCACAAATTAATTACGAAGGCGATGCTAACATTTCACTGGATATAACGTCCGATCAAAATTCATTGTGAATTATCTGAAACTGTGCTGTAATATTCTTACCATTTTTGGACGACATGTTACAGGACATGGTGTTCGCTGCTAGAACACCGAGTGCAACAGCCAACGCGATGCATAAAAGCACCCCGCAAACTGCTATCACAGTTAATCCGCGTTCCAACGTCGATCGTCTCTTCCACCATGTTGGATTCCTGATAAAAAAAAGGATAACCAAAATTAACGTTTGTTAAAATAAGAGGAAAATTAGAATATATGGTTTTTTAAAATGTTAATTTAATATTACATTAATATCGAAATTTTTTAAATATTTATTATTTTTCTAATATAACGAATCGACTGTCAAAAGTTCTCGGTAGCTAGCTGAGCAGAACTAGTCGGGACTTCTGACTGAATTCACTCGGAGAGAGTTAGGTCACCTCTAGAGGCCAAATGCAATCAGACTCTTCAAGTACAGAAAATAAAATCTAGCCACATTAAGGTTCGAAATCGAATGATTTAGTGCCACACCACTAGGTGAACCCTCGACAGATTAGTGCGTAAATCCAGTTCAATAGGGCTGAACATTTTACGTAGAAATATTTGTATAATCAGTTCAAATATTAGATCAGTAATCTCTGCTATTTGGGAACTTCGTTTCGTATAATTTAAATTTCAATTGAAACTCGCTCGAAATCGCGTGATCGCTGATAAGATTTACAGCGTTCCTTGCGTGTTTAAGTCCTTGAGTAAGATCGGTGGATCATTTAAAAGATTCAAGAAGGTCTTCTCCGTTCTGTTAAACAACAGTAGTAAAAATCGACTGTTAATGGAAGTATATCGGGGTTGTTCCGTGTTAATGGCTTCGCAGTCGCGATCCTTGAAGTCTATCCGGCATCAACCGCAGAATACGATTTGCAAAACTGGAAAGTTCGAGAAGATGGTACTCCACGAGCGTTGATTATTGCCATTACTGCGGTTTCGAAATAGGAAAGGAAGATTATTATTTTCCTGTTTTGTTGCAAATGAAATTCGCTAAAAGCAAGACTTTTGCGACCTCGCGAAGCGAATGCTTTAATCGGATCCGAGTATTTTACCAAGACGCAAGAGATTCTTCTCATCTGTGTGAGATTTAATGTCTTGTTCAAAGGAAAAAAAACAGCTTCAAGATAAAGATTATATAATTCGACGTCGTTTTATTAATAACATTTCTGCATTTCTAGCGTTTAAAATCACACGCGTGCTTTACGTAAGTACGAGGATGATGAAGTTGATGAAAAATGATATTCTTGCGAATCCTCTCGCGAATACACGTGTTACGAAGCGGCAATTTATTACTCGGCAATCGTTGGATCTCGACTTGCGTGAAGTGAATCGCTAATGGACGCAAGACGCAATAATTACTTTTTCTATTGCCTTGTAAAAATATTTCAAAACATTTACACGTCGTCCTTTATTTTTTTGGCTGTTGAATTTTTTCACACTGTTCTCAGTTCCAATTTTTCACGTGAAAACCAAGAACGACGTTTTCAAAAAACAAAACAGAACCTCCGTCGAGAAGGTGTAACAGTTGTCATTATTGATTTCTATTGTTACTTCTGCCCGCATTGTACCTCACGAAATAGACTATCATCCGTTGTGTCACAACGTGTCTATTACGCAATTGATGCTCCTTGTAAATGACAATTTACTCGCATTCACGGTGCTACATTTTCAGGATCTTTCAACTTTAACGGGTTCTACTCGTTTTCCCAAAGAGTCTAGACGGTAACAATAATTGTGGCAGTACGAGCGCGTGGAACGTTGAACGTCAGTCGCAAATGCGCTTCTAGACGGCACCGTTATGCAGAACCCGATTGCCTTTCGATAGTGAAAAGTAGCTCGAAGTAATCGGAAGCCAAGCGTGAAGCTAACGCAGCTTGTACAGATACTGCTCGCAATCAGGTGAAATGCTTTTATTGTTGGCAACATGTGTATTACGACATAATGATACAGTTTCCCGTCTTCGTGTCGTTACTTTAAGTAATCGTGCTGTTGTAATAAATTCAAGCAACAGGAAGCAGATTTAGTACATTTGTCGTACGACGTTGCAACACTTGTATCATATTCTGAGGTTTTTTTTTTTTTCTTTTTTCTCTCAATCGGTCACGATCGTAAGCGTACATCGACCAAGTACGGTCCAAGGCCAACTAGTATTTAACTTATTTAATTGATCGGTCGTCGTCGATACTAGCGGCGATGCGAAGAACCAATCGATACTTATCTCTACACGATGATGTACGATGATGCAGATGTTTCTACTTCTGGTTTTACCAGATACATCAAAATGATAAATATTAATCGCGGTAATATTTTGCACGGGATCTCTCTCGGTATCTCTGTTATCTGCACGTTTATTATGTCTGTCGTTGTTTGATAATACTTGTTAAAAAAGATTATGAGATATTATCGAGGTTTTTAGAGATAAAATAATCGCTTGCGAACGTTCTTGCAATGTTTGAGCCGTTCAGCTGCATTTCAATCAGAATGCGCGCAAAGTGGCAAGGAAAGAAGTGCACAGGCAGCAACCATAAATACCGTTTTATCATACATAATTCCCTCTGTAAAGATTGCTAAATACCGTGCTTCTTACCAGTCTTGAGACTTGTATATGTATAACGTGCTCAACTAACGTTGAACTTTGTTCTCTCTTTAGACCAAAAGGAGTTTAACGCACCATTTCAGTATATCGGGTAACATGCGCGGAATATCCAAATGGCAGAAGTAACAACATTATTGCGAAAGTAGATGAACGTTCTCCCAGTGAGTTGTCTGCATTATGTGTAGCTTTGCTATACTTGCGTCCGTACGTACGTACATCAATGATTTACGTCGCTTGGACAGAGTTTATGAAAATAATCTCGCGTGTAATTCGTGGTTATTCACATTGCTCAATGACTGTTTAATCATTGAAGTAAAAAAAAAAAAAGAAAAATGTATATTAATACGTATATGCAAAACAAATGTGTGTAAATATGCAATATTTTAATACGTAACGCATTTGCTTTTTACTCAAAGATTCTCAAACGAGCTTCACCGTATTAATTTGCTTTGCCATTGAAATCATCAACGAGCCTATCACGACGCTTGCTTTGCCTTTGTTGTTTGCAGAGAATTTCTCATTTACATTGCAACATTTATCTAAACAATAAAAGAAATTGCATACATATCCATATATAAAATAATTAATGTAATTAATTTTAATACGTAACTCATCTGCTTTTCACTCAAAAACTCTCAAACGAGCTTCACCGTATTAATTTGCTTTATCATTGAAATCATCAACGAGCCTATCACGACACTTGCTTTGCAGAGAATTTCTCATTTACATTGCAACATTTATCTAAACAATAAAAGAAATTGCATACATATCCATATATAAAATAAATAATGTAATTAATTTTAACACGTAACGCATTTGCTTTTCACCCAAAAATTCTCAAACGAGCTTCACCCTGTTAATTTGCTTTGCCATTGAAATCATCAACGAGCCTATCACGACACTTGCTTTGCAGAGAATTTCTCATTTACATTGCAACATTTATCTAAACAATAAAAGAAATTGCATACATATGCACATATAAAATAATTAATGTAATTAATTTTAATACGTAACGCATCTGCATTTCACCCAAAAATTCTCAAACGAGCTTCACCCTGTTAATTTGCTTTGCCATTGAAATCATCAACGAGCCTATCGCGACGCTTGCTTTGCCTTTGTTGTTTGCAGAGAATTTCTCATTTCCACTGCAACATTTATCTAAAACCGATAAAAGCAACTCTGCCCTTAAAGCCAAGTTTCAAGGCTGCAAATAGTCTCGCAAGGAAACGCGTTAGCCGTGTAACTTCGTTAAGCCGAAGCCACGGTGGTATCAGCCAGCTGCAGGACGCAGTTTAACAGCCGCGCCGCGCGGCTCGCGCAATCAAATTTTAATTAAGAGAAGCCTGCCGCCGTAAACGAGCGATTTAATCCCGCTATCGTTCGCAGACGCGTGGCGTACCGGCGGCGGCGGCAGCAGCAGCAACAAGAGGCAAGCGAAGTAAATCGGCCAGTTGCCGTTAGAGTAAGCAAACCGTTTCGAGCCGAGGAGCAATAGGGTTCGCGACGCGTTGCAACTCGAGTGTATTGACCTCCTCCAGGGACAAGCGTACACCGGGACGCTTCTCGCAGTCAATGGCCAAGCCTCTCGACGCTATCGGGGCTAAGAAAACCTGGGGAAAATCGTTTCGACGCGCGTCATTCTGTGTCTCTCTCCCTCTTTCCCTCTTTCTCTCTCTCTGTCTTTCAACTCGATCGAATTTCCATACTATGAACAACCTGGCTTGCGCCGAGTAGTGTGAGAACTCGGCTACGATCACCCTGACACACTTACACCGCCAACGAAACAACGATCGAGCGATAAATGTCGCGGATGCTCGCGCGATCGACGAATCGATAGCGTGTAACACCTTCCTTTCTATTTCTGTTTCTCAGCAGACACGTTTTCCACGCATATTTGCGAGAAAGATGTACAGCAGACTTTCGTGCAACGCAGATCGAATCGATAGTTTTAGGTAATTGCTCTATCTACTGTCGCAACGGGAACTAAATGCATCAGATACCGGTATTTTGGTATAGTACGGCAAGTATTATAGAATAAAGAAACACGAATTGGATAAGATCGTGTTTCAGTGGAATCGGGATCAATCGGCACCATTGCAGATTGAAAAAGTGAGACAGTGAGAACTAGTGAGGATGCTTTTTGATAATGACATTACTTTAGCACGGTTATTTCTTGATTTACGTTATTATCTAAGAAGAACAATGTATAAATGATAATTACTAATTCAAAAGAAAATGAGCAATCTCCTTCAAATATACCCATTTTCACTCATCTTCATACATAATAAACGAAAACTATATATTTAATACTTGTTCTTCCTTGTAATACTGCGATATGAATTTCAGTGTTTATTATATCTCAATACTGGCGCCAATTAGCGGTGGAAAGCGTTTAAAAATACCGGTATTAAACGTACGATACTCTTATTAATGGAACTGATCAAAAAGCGGTTATGTTATATTATTACTAACTCAAATATCGGTAAAATATTAAAACCTCAAAACATATCGGTATTCGATCTCTGGTTCCTACAACGCGTTAAATAATAACTGCATTCAACATTTGAAAATGAA